CTATACATAGTTATCAATGTTGCAAAAAATGATGCTCAAGAGTATGCTTCAGTATTTAGCCTTATTCCAAGATCAGCTGTAGAACAACAGTACATAGCACTCAACTTGCATGTTTTCCAGTGAGGTATCCGCGGATATACATTTTTAACGATCCGGCACATCACTAATATTTACCTAGACTCTTTAAAACTTACTTCCTGCAATGCTATATGATTGGAAAAGTTAGGAATATTATTCTAAAATGGTATTTAAAATCAATATTTTTGTAACAATAGACAAAAAATGCTTATAAAGTATTAGGTGTAGCTATTTTGCTCCGATCGCTCTGGCAGTTGACCGTGTAAGTTGAAATCTATGCTAATTAGTTCATCTGATCGCATTTAGGCAAGCTGTTTTCACCTGAAGCATTGGGAGATGACCCCTTTCTCAATGACATGTAAGAATAACGGGTTGCCTGGCTTTTGGTGATAGAAAAAAAATTATTGTGCCATGCTCCTGGTAGTCGAGTTAAGTAGTGATGCATTGTGTCGTCTTTGGGAGATAATGAGGGCTCCAAGATTTGGGTGTGTATTTTTTACAAAATTCCTATTATTGATATTATATATAAATTAATTTTGAATATATAAGTTGTCTTGTTTAATATTTAATGTATTAATGAATCATTTAAGTCTCTATGCATTGAAATAAGTGTTTTGTTCATTATATAAGTTTATACAATACATAATTAAATTTTGCAATAGCAATGTTATACACAAAATAAACAATAAAAACATACAAAAATATTTTTGTTAACCAGTGGCATGTTATCCTATGAACAAAAGGGACAATTGCCTGGGGCCCCAAATCAATCTTTTATAAGGAAATATTTTCCTAAAAAAATTCTCCCAAAGAAAAATGTCTGAAGTCAACATTACTGTACAGTACATGGGGCCCACTAATTCAAATTTACCTGGGCCTCATGAAGCTATAATATGCCACTGTTATTAACTTATTTCAATTTTTTTTTTACTTTTAATAACTTGAAAGAATCATAAAACAAAGTAAAAAATTGAAATAAGTTAATGACAGTGGCGTGTTATAGCTTTACAAAGCCCATTTCAATTTGAGTTAATATTAAAATTAATATTATACAAGGAATGAAAAGGTATATAAAATCAGTATAATAAAGAAATATTATTATTATTGCTGAATTTCAAAAAGTAGTAATAAATTTACTATGGAATTGATAAAGGAAGGTTGTTTTTGATTTCTAATTAATCAATATCAAATATTTGTATATGTAAAACTGTTTAAATATATACTATTTAACTAATTGAAATAACAAGCTAAAAATTAATTTTTAAAATAAATCCTGTTATTAATACATAGAAATTATAAATTCATTTTAAATTCTCATTGATAATTTTAGAACAAATTACATTAAGATTTAAACTCTCTGCTAATGTTTTTCTTAAATGTTTATAATTTATCTTGATATGAAATAAATATAATATGAAGGACTAATTTATTCCAAATATTTTTCCAGACTTTTATAAGACATGGAAAAAATCTTATTCTCATATGATTTGAATATGGTATTAGTGGAGGATTTAAGTTTTGAAGTTTTGTGGTATGTTAAACTTATTTTTTAATTTAACAAATCTGTATCATTGAAAAATAATATGTAAATTGTAAAATTTTGGCTATTATTAATAAATTATTTATTTTATTTAAAATTGGAATTCGTATGATTTTGAATGCCTGAATGAATAACATTACTTTTCAAGCAAAATAAAATTATAGAAATAAAGATTAATAAAGCAATAAAGATTCTAACTTTTATATACCATTTTTTACTGCATCAATGTATCATAACAAATTAGAATGAAAATGAAAATGCCTTACCTTTCTGTTGTTTTGCTTTTTGTAAACTTTTTGAGCACAAGAAGTTTCCAAAATGATTCCGTGTCTCTTTGGAAAATGGATTATAACATTTGAGAATGATACTTCCTCCTAGAATAATTTAAGAATTTAATTATTAAGAATAGAAAAGATCAAGATGATTGATTGATTAATTAATTAAAATAATTTTCTAATACAGGACATTTATTGTCTCATTCAAAAGAATATAAGACAATATCCAAGCGAATATTATTTATAATCTGATAAATTAATTTAATTCGATGCTAAATGGAAACAATCTTAAATATTTTTAATGAAACTTTAAATCTATAAATAGACTATTACATCTAATGTTCTATCGACAATTATTCAATTTTGATCGCTTATAAATCAAAAAATTTATATTGCCTGCGATATTCGGGTTTATGTAATTCAACTTTTTCGAAAAATGTTAAAATGGAGCGAAAAATAACTCGCAATTTTCGGAAAATATTCTATTCCAAGATGGCGCCGGCGATACGAAATCGAACGAATTCGAATCGGTCAAACGTGCGATAAATGCGTCATGCGTTACGTCATAAGTTCGACGTCAGAATATTAACTACAGTAATTGCAAATGTTTTGTTTAAAATGCTAAAATAGTCCCCTTTTTGTAAAATATCGCTAAGAAATTTGTAATAAATAAAATTATAAAAACGTATTCCATATCCTTATAAGTTACAGGCCGCAAATCTAGATTTAAAGTTTATTTAATTTTGATATATTAATAATCGAAAAATATTAAGTTACCTACGTTACGCAAGCTTTCGTTATTAAAATTCGTACGAAAAATGTTAAAATGGAGGGAAAAATAACTCGCAATTTCCGGAAAACATTCTATTCCAAGATGGCGTCGGCAACAATACGAAATGGAACGAATTCGAATTTGTCGTTGCAATGCGTCACGCGTTACGTCACGAGTTTTACGTCATAGATGTAATATTTCGAGTATTTTAATTGCATTTTTTAAGGGAAAGTTTCTTTTTAACAAATTCTTTGGTCTCGGATTTGGCAAAATATTTGTTAACTTCGCTAAAAAGAAAATGTATTCAGATAAACGTAATAAAATCACCTAGATGACACAGAATAAAAAATAATTTCTAATAAAATAAGTAGTAGTATTTATATTAAGTGGTTCAGCTGATCTCCCAATAAATTTAATAATTAGAATTAAATTAATTGGAAATTTAGAATATTCTGAAAGAAAAGAATTGTCCAGAATGAGACTCAAACCCACAACTCCTGATTACGGGGTATCCATTACATTACCTGGATCTCTTTCTGATTTTTATTTCTAGAACTGTTAGTTAATTTAGATATAAGCAAGGTCACTTAAAACTGTGTTGTGTGTTTTTTTTGGTTTTTTTATAGGAAAAATATTGTTTAAAAAAAACCATTCAAATCTGTATAATAGTGGAATCTGATGGTCAGAGGTAATATCCTGGAAATGCTTAAAAGATCATTTTATTTATGAATTAAACACCTTGATAATATATGTTTTGCATTAGTGCTCTTCATTGGATATATTATTGTTGATATTATAATATTGGAAAGTTAAAAACAGTTATAAAATACTGGAATGAAAATAGTCAAATCAAATAATGAAGTAATGTAAAGTACATTCTGATGTACAGTACATAAACTGATGACTATTCAATAAACACTGCAGTTTAATTAAGGCATAAAGATGAAGTAAGAACATAGTATGTATATTTATTTTTGGCCAGAATATGTAATAGTCTTTACAACTATAAAATATTCTTACTAATGTTCAAATTTTGTAGGAGACTGGAATACACTAAAACAGAAACAAGCACATCCATTGGTAAACTAATTACTTCCAATATGCATTTAATAGCAGTAAACTCAGATGGACATTTTTGAGCTATGTATGAGAATAGTGTGGAGCTTATTTTCACAATTTGTAAATGTGAACCTCCTATCCTCTATTCCGTTCAAATATATATAGAAAAAATTTGTGTAAAAAATCTACCCCATTGGTGAATATTTACTGGTGTCTCAATGTCAGTGAAGTTTTATAGGTTCCAAATAGTAAGGATGAGCATATGGCAATCACAAGCTTGAACCACAATGTGTCCATTTTAGTACAATAGTTTGTAAAACTGTAACTGGTCATCTCAATAAATAAAAGCATTAGTTACATGACATTCTCACAAAATTAATTTCTTTCATGACTCGTGACTGCCAGCATCATGTAATTAAACTGAATTGGTGCAGTGTTTGAAGTCTGTCTGGGACCCACATCATCACCAGAAGTTCCACTCTTTAAGCGATTTCAACATCATTGGCAGTTAATTGATCAACAGAAATATGAAACAGGATTTACAAATAACACAGTATCAAGATCACTGAAAGACATCAAAGATGGTGTTGCTGAGTTTGCTAACAGCAATCTAGAAAACAGTCAGCCAAGAGATGACTACAGAGAATTCACTGAACATATCATCATCTTTCTTGGTTCAATCCCACAGAGAGGGGTCTGATTTATGGCACCTGGAGCCATGCATCATGCACGCTGACTCTCAAAGGTAATTTACAGTTTGAAAGTGTGGATGTTTAGGGGCCAGTTCCACTTAACAAAAAAAAGAAGAGAAAGGACTACAGGATGTGTGTGTCTTTGCTGCATGTGTGTCCTTGAAAGCCTGGATTTCAGCTCCACTAGCAGCCAGTGCTCCTAACAATGACCTTCATCTTCTGAAATCACTTCTTGAATACTCAGCAATCAACATGACAATATCCAAGGCAGCATCTCTCAAATTTTCTAAACACTTATGGTATTTGTCGCTAGATTTGGTTGCTTTAGCTTTTTTCGACAACCACGTAAGTTATGCTGCAAAGAGACTAATGATTACAGCAATGCAAAATGATGATGACACTGAACAGGGTCACTAAGCAAATCAGTGTTGACCTGATCACATTCATGAGAAAAAATAAACTGATAAAGTTGCATTGTGCTAACAAAGTTGCATTGTACTAACAAAGTTGCATTGTACTAACATTGTATTGATAAAGAACATTGTACTAAAAATTTCAAATTTTGTGAATTTTGACGTTTAAAAATTTTTTCGTTGCATTTTTGGTTTGTAATCCATCAAGTTTTTGAATATTGTAGAGTCTACATGACTATTTAACTTGTCTGTAATTGTCCAAAAAAGTGAAAGAAGTCCAGTTTACCAAAACAGGTCTTGTATTTTTCATTTGTCATAAATTGCTCTTTTTATAAACGTTGTGGTCATTCAGCTACCTCTAAATATTGATATATCAAGTTCAAATTTCTTTTGTAGTAATTTGAGACCAGTTGGAATAGTTCTGGAGGATAGGATCACAAAAAAGTAAGCAATTTATTTTTTCCCTATTTTAAGCACACTAGTGTGAGAACTTTATCAAATCAAGATGTTCCAAAACAGAATGTGAGGGAAAAAACAGTGATGTCTTTTTTAAAATATTTGAAAATGTTCTAATGCGTAAAATAAGAATTATTACAAAGTACAAGAACAATAAAGCAAACTAACAAATTTAATAACCCAAATTGAAATAAGATAGAAAAGACTCTTAATTTAAAACTTTGTAGCGCAGGTATTCTGTCCCTGTTTGTCATGCAGATATTGCCAGTCATCCATGCAATTAATGTAATAACCTCTTTTTCAGATTTAAATATCTCGAGGGTTTCAAGTGTCTTGATTAGGGTTGCCACCTGTCCGGGTTTGACCCAGAGACTCCGGGATTGAGTGAGTTATCTCCAGGCTCCGGGGTTAATTAATATTTCTCCGGGTTGTGCAAGTTGAAATGAATATATACAAAATTATATGCAAACCGTTGCATATATTTCTTCCCCCGTGTACTGAATTACTAGTGTGGTAGTCGTTGGCATAGGCACAGTGCTGCTTTTTTTTTTTTTTTGCTTGTACGATTCATTCGTAATCATATACCCCTCCAATATCCAATAGAGCTAGGTCACTTGCGTTACTCCTATCCAAGTCTCCCTAGTCGCTAACTGTAACTGATTTAGAACCGGCATGCACTGCACATTATACTTCGCATTGCAAAATGATATTGCGCATGCGTCAGGAACTTCTGTTCGAACAAACCTCACCTGCCCTCCGGGTCAGAGAGTTTGAAAAGGTGGCAACTCTAGTCTTGATATGGTTGTGTTGTTTAAATCATTTGATGATGGTGCACATCATTATCAGAGGCATACATTGTCAGGACAGTTTTGTGTTTTTTAGTGTCAATATCATGTTTGTGTTCAACTGAACATTTGATATATTGTGTGGTGAAACCAACGTATTTCAGAAAATAACAGAGTCAGTTGTCTCAAAGGAATTGTGTATACCCTTGGTATCCTAAGCATTGTCTTTTCAATTTCTGATAATATTATAGGTGATTGGATCACACTTGTACATTAATTTAGCTTCATTTAGATGGATTATTTATTTGTTTAGAAATAGCATGCTATGGTTATAATGAAGAAAGATAACAACACAAACAAGTATATTGTTTGAATTCGTATAGTTTTATCCGGTATCCCATTATTAGCATATGAGCCTTGAACACTACCACCAGAATATGTTTAAACTAAATTCTGGATAAGGTTTCTATAGTAACTTGTTTTATAGCAATATATTCAAACTGTTGTAGTCATTTGCCATTTCAGTGAAATCTATAATGGGTAAAGGATCTTTTGGTCAGGACTCTAAAAGCAGCTATTTTGTAGACTTAGGGGGTCATTGGAGCTTGTAGATATAAACAATGGTGGGTGTGATGGTTTGTAATATACATTTGGGTGGATATGTCATTTCTAATGTTGATTTTAAGATCCAAAAAATGTACCATTTAGTTGCTGGTATGGTCTAATTTAATACAGTTCATTTGTTGTATGGAGCCATTTATATCTGGTTTTGTTTTCCATATAATAAAGATATCTTCTACATATCTTCTGTACATAAGTATATATGGAAGGGTTGATAAAATCATTTTTCCAATAATATCATATCTGACAAAGGACCCCAGACAAGAGGCTATCCATAGTGCCCCTCTCTTTTGAACATATTTCTTGTAATCAAAGTGAAAGAAAGAGGAATAGCATGAGATATGTGCTTAAATCCAGGCTACATTTGAGATTGACTTGCTCATTGCTTTTATGTAATAAATCTCTAAGAGAGCAAAAACATGGTTGCAATTTGATAAAGTGGCACACAGGTACAGTATAAAGTCTGACTGTAATATAAACACCTCCTATAAGTTGACTGCCAGAAATCATCAATTATTTTCCCTGTCTTACTGATAGGTTTTTAAATGCTCTTTAATAGATTATAATGGATAGCATTTTCTAAAAGGCAAGTACATGACATGGTTTTTTCCATTATGAGTCATATAATGTTGCTTGATTTATCCATCTTTGTGAATGCAAAAAGTTTAGGAGTATTAGCAGAATTTGCCATTACACTATCCAATTTTAAGGTTCAAAAAATCTAAATCCAATAAATACAATACCAAAGCTATGTGTGTGTGTGTGAACCCACAGAGGTTTATAGTTACAATCATTAACATTATATCAATAATAATATATATAAAGTAATTACAAAAGATAATTAAAAGTAGGTAAATATATTTTACTGCCCTCTCAGAATTTATGCAAAGGTTAACTCTATAATAAGAATATTTTGGTTTTAACTGATTGTATTTGTTATACAGCATGTGATATGTTTTTTTTTTGTCTTGACTGGTATAGTTTGTATTATTGCATTATTAAAGTCTTTAATAAGCTGTTTGAAAATTTACTGTCTTACATGATTGCATTTAGTAATTTTTAGCTGTAAACTGAGTTTAATCAATGTCCCAAATTTATCTAGAAAAAATATTACTTGTTTGATACTAGCTACTCATAATATTGACTATATAGTCTATCTCAATCAGATAGAACTTATTGTTGAGTCAGAGAGTAACAATACGAACAAATTCTTGTCCACTCCCACAAAGTGAATGCTTCAATGAATACCAGTATTCTCAGCAACATCTGTACTTCTTGAATCCCTGATTCTGCTTAATTTCCTTCCTCATCCAGGTCATGTGAAATCATGCCACTTTTATTCCAGAATTTCTAGATTGTTGATGGTTTGACAGATGCTCACACTCCAGCAATCAATAATTAAGGATCTCATCGTCTCCATATCCATCCATGTGCAGTGGACATTAGTTTGTGCTTTCTTTATAGTCATTCTTAACAACAATAGTTTGATGCAGCAACAGTTGGAAGAATATGCCTGTTTCATCAGTGTTGAAGATGTCATCTGCACTGTATCCGCAAATTATAATTGTATCTCAACTGTAAGTCATGAAAAGCTAGGTTCATCAAAACATCATTGTTTTTTCTGAAGATACTTTTTGAGGATTTCACACTCTCATGAAATCTAAAGATCTACCCATAACTTGCCTGAAAGTCTTCTGCTCTAAGCATTTTCACAAACTCTGAAGCCTTCTTTTAAAGAAGGCTTCAGAGACATGTAGACATGTAGACCCCTTCTTTAAAAGAAGCCTTCTTTTAAAGAAGGGGTCTACATGTGGGACTATTGTTCTTGAATGTCTAAAAAACTAGATGAAAATAACTTTCTCCATATCACTGTACTGTGTGCCATACAATTTCTTCCCATTTGGAACCAAGGTTGGATTTTGAATTTCCTTTCAATCTTGGAATGATCTTTTAAAATCAGACACCTCCACACTCCTTTGCAATATCCTTTTCTGACCTGGAATCAACTGCTGGGATGGGAGTTCTTCAGACAATGAAAAGTGATGATGTTTTTCCCTTTGGTGTTCTTGTCTGATGACATTATTTTGAATGACTGAAGAACCATAACTACAGTATGGTAAGGATGCATTGAACTGAGACTCTGTTTGCTTCTTCCTTCATGTAACTTCCCAGCATAATTTTTGTTATCTTCCTGTTTGGCAGTTTCCTTCAAAAAGATCTGTAGCTGGTATTGATCACAGGACTTTTTATAGGTCTCTCAACTTTTGTTTTTTGGGATCTTTCCAGAATATTTTGAATATGTAGTATATAACCAACTATCCCATCAACCCATTCAAAAAAAATTCTAAAGTCAGTTCCTTGATTTGATAGGTCTTTCAGACAGTTTCTTTTGGGTGGAAATCCTTGACACTTCCCAACTCCTTTCATTCAATTCTTCTATTCCATCAGAGTTTTTTCTATACCAGGTATTTCAGCATAAGGTCCAGAAAACTATTTTGGATTATTGAAAGTTTTGTTACACTTAACTTTCTTATGTCAAGAATTTTTAAAGCATTAGTCATATGGGCAACCAACTAGGAATTCAAAATTTTTTCACTATACAGTAGAGATGATTATGCAAAAATCAGTTGTCTAAAAAATTGATTCACCAAAGTCAACATCAGAAAGTACTAATTACAGAAAAAAATATACTATTTATGATTTCTTCAGTGGTGATTGGCCACACTTTTCAACTGGCAGAGTATATTTCCCCATTACTGCTATTCTTGGGATCAGCATTCACCTTCTAACAGCATTTCCTTCAATTGTCAGAGAGATAGTGGAGTTATCAGGAAATGATCATCTTTATAAAGTTGAGTTTTCAGAGATGCTGCATTAACCTGTTTAAAAGACTTGAAAGTGCTTCTCTTGGAGCACATATACAGAGAGTTTAAAGAAGTCCTTGTGGTGCTTTTTAAGGTTTGGAGTTCATTTCATTTTTCAGTGGGAGACCACAGACCCTGAGTCTGGATCACTCGCAACCTTTAGATATCCCTTCCTTCAAGAGAGTTTGATTCTCCAGACCTGTCACTTTATATTATCACAACCCTGCAACACTTGTAGAGGTGATGGAATTTACTCTCCGGGACATGATACACGGAGATAACGAGATAAACAAATGGACAGATAATTTGATGAACAGATTACATTGGTCAACATCATCCCACCAAAGAAGCAGACATTGTCTTCTCTGGATATGACCAGCAATGCAGACAAGCTATACCAGCCCACTACGCAGCCAGGGGTCCAATATACAAGTACGTGTTGTCAGCAGGTGATTATAGAAGCAACTAGTTTAGAGACAGAAATATAACTGTTGGCAGTTAGGAGGGCTACCAAATAGTTTTAGATAATTTGGAGTTTTGCCAATGGTACCTAACCAACCAAGTGCATTGGTGTCAAGTTTGAATGGATTGTTTTTGCAGTGTGTTAAACATATTTTTTAAATTTAAAATATCTGTATCATTGAAATAAATAATAAGTTGTAAAACTTTGTTTTTAACAATAAATTAATTTTTCTAAGTAAAATTGTAATTCATATTATTCTAAATGACATGAATGAATAAAATTATTTTTCAAACATCATTCTACAATAATAAATTCTTAGATTTATCAATCAGGATTCTAACTTTTATATACCATTTTTAATACATCAATGTATCATAACAAATTAGAATGAAAATAAAAGTGTCTTACCTTTCTGTTGTTTTGCTTCTTGTAAATTTTTTGAGCACGAGAAGTTTCCAAAATTATTCCACGTCTCTCCGGAAAATGGATTAAAACATTTGAGAATGAAACTTCTAGAATAATTTAAGAATTTAATTATTAAGAATATATAAGATCAAGATGATTGATTAATTTAATTAAATTAATTAATTAATTAATTTACTAATTAATAAAATATTCAAATAATTTGCTAATACAGGACATTTATTGTCTCGTTGAAAAGAATATAAGACAACATACAAGCAAATATTATTTATAATCTGATAAATTAATTCGATGCTAAATGGAAACAATCTTAAATATTTTTAATGAAACTTTAAATCTAAAAATAGACTATTACATCTAATGTTCTATCGACAATTATTCAATTTTGATCGCTTATAAATCAAAAAATTTATATTGCCTGCGATATTCGGGTTTATGTAATTCAACTTTTTCGAAAAATGTTAAAATGGAGCGAAAAATAACTCGCAATTTTCGGAAAATATTCTATTTCAAGATGGCGCCGGCGATACGAAATCGAACGAATTCGAATCGGTCAAACGTGCGATAAATGCGTCACGCGTTACGTCATAAGTTCGACGTCAGAATATTAACTACAGTAATTGCAAATGTTTTGTTTAAAATGCTAAAATAGCCCCTTTTTTGTAAAATATCGCTAAGAAATTTGTAATAAATAAAATTATAAAAACGTATTCCATATCCTTACAAGTTACAGGCCGCAAATCTAGGTTTAAAGTTTATTTAATTTTGATATATTAATAATCGAAAAATATTAAGTTACCTACGTTACGCAAGCTTTCGTTATTAAAATTCGTACGAAAAATGTTAAAATGGAGGGAAAAATAACTCGCAATTTCCGGAAAACATTCTATTCCAAGATGGCGTCGGCAACAATACGAAATGGAACGAATTCGAATTTGTCGTTGCAATGCGTCACGCGTTACGTCACGAGTTTTACGTCATAGATGTAATATTTCGAGTATTTTAATTGCATTTTTTAAGGGAAAGTTTCTTTTTAATAAATTCTTTGGTCTCGGATTTGGCAAAATATTTGTTAACTTCGCTAAAAAGAAAATGTATTCAGATAAACGTAATAAAATCACCTAGATGACACACAATAAAAAATAATTTCTAATAAAATAAGTAGTAGTATTTATATTAAGTGGTTCAGCTGATCTCCCAATAAATTTAATAATTAGAATTAAATTAATTGGAAATTTAGAATATTCTGAAAGAAAAGAATTGTCCAGAATGAGACTCAAACCCACAACTCCTGATTACGGGGTATCCATTACATTACCTGGATCTCTTTCTGATTTTTATTTCTAGAACTGCTAGTTAATTTAGATATAAGCAAGGTCACTTAAAACTGTGTTGTGTGTTTTTTTTTTTTTTGTTTTTTTATAGGAAAAATATTGTTTAAAAAAACCCATTCAAATCTGTATAATAGTGGAATCTGATAGTCAGAGGTAATATCCTGGAAATGCTTAAAAGATCATTTTATTTATGAATTAAACACCTTGATAATATATGTTTTGCATTAGTGCTCTTCATTGGATATATTATTGTTGATATTATAATATTGGAAAGTTAAAAACAGTTATAAAATCCTGGAATGAAAATAGTCAAATCAAATAATGAAGTAATGTAAAGTACTGTACATTCTGATGTACAGTACATAAACTGATGACTATTCTATAAACACTGCAGTTTAATTAAGGCATAAAGATGAAGTAAGAACATAGTATGTATATTTATTTTTGGCCAGAATATGTAATAAAGTCTTAACTATAAAATATTCTTACTAATGTTCAAATTTAGTAGGAGACTGGAATACACTAAAACAGAAACAAGCACATCGATTGGGAAATTAATTACTTCCAATATGCATTTAATAGCTGTAAACTCAGATGGACATTTTTGAGCTATGTATGAGAATAGTGTGGAGCTTATTTTCACAATTTGTAAATGTGAACCACCTATCCTCTATTCTGTTCAAATATATATATAAAAAATTTGTGTCAAAAATCTACCCCATTGGTGAATATTTACTGGTGTCTCAATGTCACTGAAGTTTTATAGGTTCCAAATAGTAAGGATGAGCATATGGCAATCACAAGCTTGAACCACAATGTGTCCATTTTAGTACAACAGTTTGTAAAACTGTAACTGGTCATCTCAATAAATAAACGCATTAGTTACATGACATTCTCACAAAATTAATTTCTTTCATGACTCGTGACTGCCAGCATCATGTAATTAAACTGACCATTGGTGCAGTGTTTGAAGTCTGTCTGGGACCCACATCATCACCAGAAGTTCCACTCTTTAAGCGATTTCAACATCATTGGCAGTTAATTGATCAACAGAAATATGAAACAGGATTTACAAATAACACAGTATCAAGATCACTGAAAGACATCAAAGATGGTGTTGCTGAGTTTGCTAACAGCAATCTAGAAAACAGTCAGCCAAGAGATGACTACAGAGAATTCACTGAACATATCATCATCTTTCTTGGTTCAATCCCACAGAGAGGGGTCTGATTTATGGCACCTGGAGCCATGCATCATGCACGCTGACTCTCAAAGGTAATTTACAGTTTGAAAGTGTGGATGTTTAGAGGCCAGTTCCACTTAACAAAAAAAGAAGAGAAAGGACTACAGGATGTGTTTGTCTTTGCTGCATGTCTGTCCTTGAAAGCGTGGATTTCAGCTCCACTGGCAGCCAGTGCTCCTAACAATGACCTTCATCTTCTGAAATCACTTCTTGAATACTCAGCAATCAACATGACAATATCCAAGGCATCATCTCTCAAATTTTCTAAACACTTATGGTATTTGTCGCCAGATTTGGTTGCTTTAGCTTTTTTCGACAACCACGTAAGTTATGCTGCAAAGAGACTAATGATTACAGCAATGCAAAATGATGATGACACTGAACAGGGTCACTAAGCAAATCAGTGTTGACCTGATCACATTCATGAGAAAAAATAAACTGATAAAGTTGCATTGTACTAACAAAGTTGCATTGTACTAACATTGTATTGATAAAGAACATTGTACTAAAAATTTCAAATTTTGTGAATTTTGACATTTAAAAATTTTTTCGTTGCATTTTTGGTTTTTAATCCATCAAGTTTTTGAATATTGTAGAGTCTACATGACTATTTAACTTGTCTGTAATTGTCCAAAAAAGTGAAAGAAGTCCAGTTTACCAAAACAGGTCTTGTATTTTTCATTTGTCATAAATTGCTCTTTTTATAAACGTTGTGGTCATTCAGCTACCTCTAAATATTGATATATCAAGTTCAAATTTCTTTTGTAGTAATTTGAGACTAGTTGGAATAGTTCTGGAGGATAGGATCACAAAAAAGTAAGCAATTTATTTTTTCCCTATTTTAAGCACACTAGTGTGAGAACTTTATCAAATCAAGATGTTCCAAAACAGAATGTGAGGGAAAAAACAGTGATGTCTTTTTTAAAATATTTGAAAATGTTCTAATGCGTAAAATAAGAATTATTACAAAGTACAAGAACAATAAAGCAAACTAACAAATTTAATAACCCAAATTGAAATAAGATAGAAAAGACTCTTAATTTAAAACTTTGTAGCGCAGGTATTCTGTCCCTGTTTGTCATGCAGATATTGCCAGTCATCCATGCAATTAATGTAATAACCCCTTTATCAGATTTAAATATCTCGAGGGTTTCAAGTGTCTTGATATGGTTGTGTTGTTTAAATCATTTGATGGTGGTGCACATCATTATCAGAGGCATACGTTGTCAGGACAGTTTTGTGTTTTTTAGTGTCAATATCATGTTTGTGTTCAACTGAACATTTGATATATTGTGTGGTGAAACCAACGCATTTCAGAAAATAACAGAGTCAGTTGTCTCAAAGGAATTGTGTATACCCTTGGTATCCTAAGCATTGTCTTTTCAATTTCTGATAATATTATAGGTGATTGGATCACACTTGTACATTAATTTAGCTTCATTTAGATGGATTATTTATTTGTATAGAAATAGCATGCTATGGTTATAATGAAGAAAGATAACAACACAAACAAGTATATTGTTTGAATTCGTATAGTTTTATCCGGTATCCCATTATTAGCATATGAGCCTTGAACACTACCACCAGAATATGTTTAAACTAAATTCTGGATAAGGTTTCTATAGTAACTTGTTTTATAGCAATATATTCAAACTGTTGTAGTCATTTGCCATTTCAGTGAAATCTATAATGGGTAAAGGATCTTTTGGTCAGGACTCTAAAAGCAGCTATTTTGTAGACTTAGGGGGTCATTGGAGCTTGTAGATATAAACAATGGTGGGTGTGATGGTTTGTAATATACATTTGGGTGGATATGTCATTTCTAATGTTGATTTTAAGATCCAAAAAATGTACCATTTAGTTGCTGGTATGGTCTAATTTAATACAGTTCATTTGTTGTATGGAGCCATTTATATCTGGTTTTGTTTTCCATATAATAAAGATATCTTCTACATATCTTCTGTACATAAGTATATATGGAAGGGTTGATAAAATCATTTTTCCAATAATATCATATCTGACAAAGGACCCCAGACAAGAGGCTATCCATAGTGCCCCTCTCTTTTGAACATATTTCTTGTAATCAAAGTGAAAGAAAGAGGAATAGCATGAGATATGTGCTTAAATCCAGGCTACATTTGAGATTGACTTGCTCATTGCTTTTATGTAATAAATCTCTAAGAGAGCAAAAACATGGTTGCAATTTGATAAAGTGGCACACAGGTACAGTATAAAGTCTGACTGTAATATAAACACCTCCTATAAGTTGACTGCCAGAAATCATCAATTATTTTCCCTGTCTTACTGATAGGTTTTTAAATGCTCTTTAATAGATTATAATGGATAGCATTTTCTAAAAGGCAAGTACATGACATGGTTTTTTCCATTATGAGTCATATAATGTTGCTTGATTTATCCATCTTTGTGAATGCAAAAAGTTTAGGAGTATTAGCAGAATTTGCCATTACACTATCCAATTTTAAGGTTCAAAAAATCTAAATCCAATAAATACAATACCAAAGCTATGTGTGTGTGTGTGAACCCACAGAGGTTTATAGTTACAATCATTAACATTATATCAATAATAATATATATAAAGTAATTACAAAAGATAATTAAAAGTAGGTAAATATATTTTACTGCCCTCTCAGAATTTATGCAAAGGTTAACTCTATAATAAGAATATTTTGGTTTTAACTGATTGTATTTGTTATACAGCATGTGATATGTTTTTTTTTTGTCTTGACTGGTATAGTTTGTATTATTGCATTATTAAAGTCTTTAATAAGCTGTTTGAAAATTTACTGTCTTACATGATTGCATTTAGTAATTTTTAGCTGTAAACTGAGTTTAATCAATGTCCCAAATTTATCTAGAAAAAATATTACTTGTTTGATACTAGCTACTCATAATATTGACTATATAGTCTATCTCAATCAGATAGAACTTATTGTTGAGTCAGAGAGTAACAATACGAACAAATTCTTGTCCACTCCCACAAAGTGAATGCTTCAATGAATACCAGTATTCTCAGCAACATCTGTACTTCTTGAATCCCTGATTCTGCTTAATTTCCTTCCTCATCCAGGTCATGTGAAATCATGCCACTTTTATTCCAGAATTTCTAGATTGTTGATGGTTTGACAGATGCTCACACTCCAGCAATCAATAATTAAGGATCTCATCGTCTCCATATCCATCCATGTGCAGTGGACATTAGTTTGTGCTTTCTTTATAGTCATTCTTAACAACAATAGTTTGATGCAGCAACAGTTGGAAGAATATGCCTGTTTCATCAGTGTTGAAGATGTCATCTGCACTGTATCCGCAAATTATAATTGTATCTCAACTGTAAGTCATGAAAAGCTAGGTTCATCAAAACATCATTGTTTTTTCTGAAGATACTTTTTGAGGATTTCACACTCTCATGAAATCTAAAGATCTACCCATAACTTGCCTGAAAGTCTTCTGCTCTAAGCATTTTCACAAACTCTGAAGCCTTCTTTTAAAGAAGGCTTCAGAGACATGTAGACATGTAGACCCCTTCTTTAAAAGAAGCCTTCTTTTAAAGAAGGGGTCTACATGTGGG